TCTGGTAAGATACAATCTCCCTGAGTATAGGGTTTTTGATAACTAATATATCTCTGGCTTTCTTGAAGACTGTCTGGCACATGGTATATACTCAGTGAATACTTTTTGAATGAATTACACCTGAATCCACTCTAGCACTTCTATCTCCTTAAGTCCTTTAGTTCCAAGGCATTTCTGGCTTCTTAATTTTAGTTAGCATGAAGCTGCTGTTGAAACTAGGTTTGTGTTAACTGATCAAAAACTATTAGAACCAAACATATCTGCTCAAGCTAGCCCATTGAAACCAGAAATTCTGGTAAATATACCCATATCAATAGATTCAGTCACATCTGAAAGTCTGTTTTTTCTCCTTTCATCAAGCAACCTCAAAATCTGTCCCCACATGTCTTCCTTTCCTACTGATAAAAATTAGCAAATTTGTGTAAAAGCTTCTCCTCCGGTTTGACTTCACAGTTGACATGAGAGCATGCCCTTGTACAGGTGTGGAGAGGCCAAGGAGTGGGATAAAGGAGCCTAAAGGGACAATTAAGATCTCTCCCTCAGAAAAGAAAGCAACACCATCTTCCAGCAAGAGGAGAATTCTTACTGTGGGGGAGGGGCCACTTTAAAGAGCAAAGGAGGCTCAGGAACATGTGGGAATGCAGAGGACTAAGTTCTCCCAAGTAAACCCAATTTTCCTCATTTCTCTTCTCACTTCCAACTCTTCCCAGTCAATAAACAAAAGAAACCTGGCACAGATGTGATTCAGTAGACATCGCATCTTGGCAAGACCCAGACTGAAATCAGTTTGGACTCAGCCACCTCTGCCCTGTTACCTTGGAATTGAAGGTAGTTTGCAAAGGGGTCTTTAATTGTGATTTTTTTCTTTAACTAAAGCATTCATGGATTCTGTTTGATTAAAATTAATTTCAAAATTACAATATGGTATAACAAGTATGAAAAAAAACTTTTTTTCTTTAGGAACACAGTTAGATAGACCAATTGCTGTCTGTTCTGGTATTGCCTTACCCTTCTGCATGACATGTGTCCACAGGCATGTTCCCAGAACCCCTTCTAAAGGCCTGCTGGTGTATGTACCCAGTCCACCATATATCCTCTCTTGCCATATCCGCCCCCATATATCCTCTCTTGCCATATCCCACCCCCCCCCCTTCCCGGCTTCAACCACTTCTCACCTGTATTTGCCCACACTCACAATCTCTCAAATCCTCCCATTTGACAGTATCTGCTCCTTCCCCAGTTACAACTCCAGCTTCTTCAGGCTACAGCTCTTTATCTGTAGTAACACACTCCTGAACATGTTGAATAACAACACTGGCTCTACATCCTAGCCAAACAGATTGGTATCAAGGTAGAACCCTTGTTGAACAATGTTATATATATATAAAAGGAATATATAGGATGTTATAGGACCCAAGAAGAGAGTTACCAACCCCCCCTAATGTTATCAGAACAGATTGCCCCAAACAGATAACGATTTTGGATGATGAAGATAAACACACACCCGGGTGCACGTGCACCCGCGGGAGTGCACACACACACACACACACACACACACACACACACACACACACGTTCTAGGTGTTTCCTGTATATTATCTCATTTAATCCTCTCAGTAACTGTATCAGGCAGATTCTCCCTCCCCCAGCCCCCTGCCCCGGGCAGATTCTACTGTTTTCCCTTTTAAAACTGAAAGAACCAAGGGACAGTCTTTGCTTGTGATCATGCAGCTTACAAAGGGTGGAGCTGAAATTCAAATCTAGCAAGTCCAGCTCTGGAGTCCCTGCTCTGAATCATGAGAGACAGGACAAAACTCAGCTGGGGTTGAGCATGGCATTCTATCTAGACCAAAGGAACAGTATATCCCAAATAGCAAAAAATGCAGAGAACATGGGGAATGGTCGAGAACAGCAAGGCATTCAGTGTGGCAGGAGTATACATAGTGGCAGACAGGACAGTGAAAGGGGAGGCAGAGGCCAATCCACCAAGGGGCTTATTTGCTGAATTTTTATACAATAGGAAATGAGGGGTTGCTGGAATAATATGATCAGAATTGTATTTCTGAATAGTCCCTCTGACAGTGAAATGGAGGATGTTTTGCCACAGATTGAAACTGGAGGCATGGGTCACCGTGAGAAAGCGTTTGCATTATCCAAAGGAGTTGATAAGGGCTGAGCCAGTGCAGCAACGCTAATGATGGAGAAAGATGGAGCTGAATGCTACAAAAGGAAACTGAAACTTTCTTATTTCCAATGTGTCAACAGTATTCTGGAGGGAAATAAGAGAATGGTGTTCCTGTATTTGCCTGTCTTCCTGTTAATGAAAGAACACTCGTTCAAATCTTTATAGAGTCAAAGGTAAAGTCTAATTAGGCAAACACTATGCAACTTTTCAGACAAGAGTAAATATATATATATTATTTTACAAACAGTAATATTTAATGTTTCCACATTGCAAAAATAAACAGTTGTGAAGATTAAAACTTTTATTTTACAGGATTGTTAAAGACATAAGCCTATTTATACATAAAAAAAAGAATTACAAACAAAAGCTTATCATGATGACATTACCCATCACTTTTACTTTTAAAACATTTCCGTGAGTAGCCATTCAAAAATAAGGACCAGAAAATTTTGTTTCTAGGATATCTTTCATACTTTGTATACTTAAGCTCTTTTTTTTACTGGACAGATGAGTCATCTGTTCGTTTGACGCATTACTGCTTATAAGAAAAATTTGATTTTTCTTCTCAGCAATGAGTGAATTAGTTTCACTTGGAATTTCTAAGGACTAATTTTAGTCAACATTTTCAAAGAATGATAAAGCTTAGAAATAAAGTCTTAAGATAAATATTAGCGTTTAAAATGGAACAAAGACTCTGAAATATTTGTTAATAATCCACGTTTATGAACATTTACATATATTAGTGAATAGTTAAGGCAAAAGACTCTCAGATATAATCTATGTTCATCAACATGTTAAAGATGATCAAAGTATAATATATATTCTATAAAAGACATGAAATGAAAAAAAAAAGAAGAAATGATTCCAAAAAGGAATTTCTATGTCACAAGACTTTTTATTAGGAAAATACCATAAAAGTTAATGGAAAATAAAATTTGATCCTTTGAAATAAGGTGGAAAGATAAGAGGACAAGCTTTTGAGTATTTACATGGATTAATGAGTTATTTGTCAAATCTCCTGAAATGATACCCTGTTCCCATTAAGTTGACGGACACTCACTGTATGAGCTACTTTTCTTTAGAAATGTTATTTCGTGAAGAGTCCATTTTTTTTTCTTTTTTTCATTGTGAGAAACAGAAGTTTTAGAGGATAGGATCTGGCCTCATGAGTCAGTTTTTGATCACATAAATTTACTTAAACCTACACATATTAATAATTACATATAGTAAATGAAAATCTTATCTGAAATAAGTACACTATATAATATAAAAATCTGTGTAATCTTTTTTTATGTTATTTTATTTTTTTGTGTAATCTTTTTTTAAAAGAGAGAGAAATGAAGAGTAAATCAGTTACATTTATTAAACTATTGAGTAGATATGAAGTCTTTGAAATCTACAATGATATTTTACATTTTGGTCTCATAATTCTATCTGCATTTATCTTGCTTTAACATTTTAATAGTGTTCATAATAACCTAATTTTTATCATCTATACCTGAAAACTTTGTATGTCATACATGTATTTTTTAAAAGAATATCATGCTTCTCTTTGGTTAGAATTTTCTGTAAAGGGCAATATTTGAAAAAGTTAATTTGTTACCTAAAGCAACTATCCTCCTTAATCATTTTCAAAGGAGTAAAGTTGCATCTTTGTGAGTTTATTTTGAAAACTTGGTTATGGCAGTAGAAACAAACTAGAAATTAAAGATTAAATATATTTCTATGACTCATATACATTATTTTATTCAAATTTTATTCTAGAGTATTTTTTAAATGTTCAGCAGAATTCTACTGTTCTCTCTGAAAGGATTGCTTTTTATGGTGATGAAATTTAAGACATTACTTTTGTAGTTAAAAATGATACCTACACTCCAGAATTGGTGAATTATAAAAGTTTCAGATATTTTAGTTTGGTTAAAAAAATAAACACTTGTATTTAAATTTCTAAAAAAAAATAAGTAATACACCAGAGTTAGGATTAAAATACATAATATTTGAAGTACTATATATTTCAAAATTTATATGTCCTATAAAACTTAGTTTTAATGAAGTGAATCACTTAATGAAATTACTGCTTTGGATATGAATGCTTTGGCCTTCAGAATATTCTAGTCTATAAATACATGCCTTATTCCCCACCCATACCTATCCTTCCAAAGAAAGCCTACCAGTAGTCACGCACAGTAGTGAACAATCTTAAATTAAAAACCATTGTGCATACAGAGCAAAGGAAGCTAATTTTTGTATTAAAGCAGTTTTCACCATGCAACACCTAAAGCGTTATTAACTGTGAATTAATTACCTTTAAACCAGGGTCTTTATGGTTGAATTTTCTGAATGCTTTTAGGAGTGACATCATGCTACCACTTTTAAAATATTTTAAATGACAACTATTTTACATTTCACAAATAATACCTGGACAGGTTTTATATATATTTCCCTTCATCTGAGAACCAAAATGCCGTAGGGTCTTCCTGAACCAAAGTAAATGTCATAAATTGAGAAAGTTTATCTCAGAATGAGGATTAGGGTATTCAGAGACAAAGAAATACCCAATAACTGAGGACAGCCTAAAAAGAGTGATCAATATTTAAATGTCTCTAAGTCATAATAAAAATTCAGATTACTTGTGTAAGAATTCAGCCTGCTAAGTAAACAATGATTTCATAATTATAGTGAGTAATACAAGTAAATAGAAAACTTTTCAACTATAGAAATTAAGAAAAATTATAAATCTACTTGTGTAATTCTCAATAATCCCACTTGCTTTTGCAAGTATTCATGTGCAAACAGTGTAACAGCAACAAAGAACTCCTTTAAAATGTATGTTTATTTTTTTAGCTTTATTTCAAATGCTGTGTAGCATAAGAACCCACTGCTTAGAGATAAATTTTTAGTCATAGAAAAGGAGTATGAAATACATTCCAAAGTGCTGAAAGAATTAATTGCCCTATTAGGTAATGAATACTGAGAGAAATGAGCATTAGTGATTTATGGTTTAAAGTGCTTGGGTCTAATCATCATTTTGACCTCTTTGAAGGAGGACTTGTAGCCATAAGGCTGTGCCTCACTTATCCCAGGCCAGGTGCCCCAGAAAATCCCATTGCGGACACCTCTGTATTTTTGGTGATAATATTTGCCATTTAAGTTTGCAGAAAGACATGCATCAAACCACCAGCCTGAACTGTAATAGAGCCCACAGTTCCCAGAGGGATATCGATCATTGTCCCTATCTGGGGTAGTGAAGAACTTCAGATCATGGTTGTAATGTTTACTGAAATGTAAGGCATCTCCAGCTGTGCCATTATAGTTACCAACGTGTAAACGGTATCTGAGAAACTCATTGGCCACGTAAAACTGATCATATAAGGCATAGAGCTTGACGCCGTTAAAGTCTTCGAGATCTATTCTTAAAATCATATCCTTACTCTTGGTCAAAAGATGAATTTTATCGTTCCCCAGCCAAAATTCTCTTCGGAGATTGCCAAAACCTACTTTGTAGTCTCGCCACATTCTGGTGAAGTTGGTGCTTCCGTCGAGACGGGCCTGCAGCACAGTCCAGCCTCCCCCCATGGTCTCCATGTCACAGAAAACTTCGAAACTACTGTTTTTGGGATCCGGTGTAACTCTGTAGATCTCACTGCTTCTTTTGCCTATTGTGTGGTAGTCAGAGCAATCTTTATATATTAGGTGTTGAACTGAAGGGGGAAGAAGAGAAAGGCATTGGACTCTGTTAATAAAAACTCTGCATCTTAAAAATTCTTTATATTTACAAACAAAAGCAGTTTGATAATTCAATCGAAGGTGTTAATGCAACCTTGCTCTGCAAAACTTACTTGAACCTGTTTAGCAAACGTTTATTAAGGCCTCAGAATAAGAACTTGGTGTTATAAAACCAGTCAAGGCTCTCCAGCATGACTGTTGGCTGGTAAGCGTAGTGCTAATGTTCACAATGTACAACAAGATCCTCATCGATAAAGTAGTTTTAGTAACGTAGTTAATATTTAGTGAGTGCTACCTATGTGTTCTAGGCATTCTGCCAAAGACTTAACATTTTCACATTTACTCTGCACATTGACCTTATGATGTAGGTATTATTTCCAATCTGTCGGTGAGGACATTTAGGCTCAAAGAGAGTCAGTGGCTTGCCCAAGTTCACAGAAGCATTAAGTGGCAGAACCAGGACGCATCCTGAGATCTGGCTGGCTGTGAGGTTTGTTCTTGTAATTACTACATTCCTTGGTCCTAAAGGTCAGATGCTTCCAACTCCCCTAAACTGCATTCCACATACACAGAAAAAGCACAAGTTTCTATTTCCTTTCACCTCAAGAGGCCAATACCCTCCTCTGTCATAAAGTTTTAGAGGACATATGTTCCAAATGATGTGTTAAAATTCTAACATACAGGGGCGCCTGGGTGGCTCAGTGGGTTGGGCTGCTGCCTTCGGCTCAGGTCATGATCCCAGGTCCTGGGTTCAAGCCCCACATCGGGCTTTCTGCTCAGCGGGGAGCCTGCTTCCTCCTCTCTCTCTGCCTGCCTCTCTGCCTACTTGTGATTTCTCTCTGTCAAATAAATAAATAAAATCTTAAAAAAAAAATTCTAACATACAGAATGGATCATAAATTCCCATTTGTTTTACTCACTTGACAACTAAATAAGATCAAGTAAAAAAAAATTTTTTTAAATAATATACCAGTATTCTTGGGGCGCCTGGGTGGCTCAGTGGATTAAAGCCTCTGCCTTCGGCTCAGGTCATGATCCCAGGGTCTTGGGATCGAGCCCCGCATCAGGCTCTCTGCTCGGCAGGGAGCCTGCTTCCTCCTCTCTCTCTCTCTGCCTGCCTCTCTGCCTACTTGTGATCTCTATCTGTCAAATAAAATAAATAAAATCTTTAAAAAAAATAATATACCAGTATTCTTAACCTAAATTTATTACTTGGGAAGTGTTTAGCCAGTGTTTCATATGTTTGGTTTCTAGAAAGAAACAATAGGTGGTTATGTCCAGGGTAAGTATAATCATCGGTTACCATGGATCTGTAGGAATCAAATACAGATATTTACTCTCAAATATTTCTTGGAAAGATCTGGGCCAGATAAGGCAAATTTAATATGAACTACTCAGAGGCACAAAAAAATCTATTCATGTGTGTTTAGAACTCAAAGTACTCCAATACTTCCCCCAAACTTTTGGTACAGAAATAGATGGTTGAATCTTATGCCTGTTATTACAAGTAGCCATGCAGCATGGAATCTAATGTGTGCCCAGACATGGCACTAAGACGTGAGCCTCTGCCTTGCAGTGCAGAATACATTCAGATACAGGCTCCCAGAAGTATTAGCAACAGTGGTCCTTGAAAGCCCTGCCTACCTTCAGATCCCTGGCAGATTCCCTAGGGTTGGAGCACACACAAGGTGCTTGTTCCAAATGAATGTGATCTCTGTGCCAGACACCATATCCCTTCAACTTAACACTCATGGTAAGTGGAGGTCCAATGCAGGAATGCCTTTCCAAAGTGTAGCAAGACCATCAGCAACAGTGTCCCAGGAACTCAGGTAGAAAGCCAGAATTTAGAGGAACCAGTGCCACAGCTAGAAGTTTGTGGGCATAGTAGTAGTAAAGCAGTTAAGAAGTAGTAGTTAAGTCTGTGGTCTTCTGGCATGCCAAAATTCTCCCCTTAAAATGTTTTGGGGCCACTCGAAGCAAAAAGTTCTGCACCCACATGAAGCCATATAGCTGCTTTTATTCCATCTATTTTCACTAGATATTTGGGATTATGACTAGATATTGGGATTATGCAGATAGTGTAAAATCTTTCAAAGATTCCTTGTGGCCACATGAGAAGGAGTAGTCAGCGAACCACAGGAAACTGATTTCCAACGAACAAAGCATAACTGGAAATATTGCACTATCTCCATTGTTTTCAAACATGTCAGTGAAGAGAGAAGTTAAATGCACTGAAACATTAAGAGATAATGTCTCTCTTCTTCAGTTTGTATGTAGCTCTGGCATTAGCAAATAAGCTCCTTGAAATTGGAAGTCCTTTCACAGGATACAGAACTAATTATGATTTTTGTAATTAAGTCTTAGATCGTTTCTGTGGTCACATTTGCAAAGATACTAGTTTTTCCTGTACTAGCTTGATGAATAAAAGGCTTACTTTATTTCATCTGTCATGTATTCAACTTATTTGCTCAGGTTAATGTTTACAGATACTGTGTAGCTATATAATATTCATGAACAAGTGATAAGAAGACATTGTACCTACCTGGACGTGACTGTATTTCTTCTTGAATGGGACACTTGGATGAACACTTGCCGTCCAAACTGTTGACTACCGAAGTTAGATTTGCCACTTTGCTATCAACATAACTCTCTATATTGTTCATATTTAAAAGATTGAGCTTCTCCAGGCGACCCTGAAGCAGGTCGATCTCCTCCTTTGCATTCTTGAGATCAGAGGACAGCTTGTTCACCTCACTCTCTAATTCTTGAACTCTGTTGTCATCAGCTTCTTCCAGGGATCCTGGGCTAGGTGACAGCTGTCCATTTCTGCCGGGGGCCCGGCTGTCGTCAGCCTGCAGTTTGCAGTCCTGGCACGATTTCTTCAGGGCATTTACCATTTCCTTGAGGTTTTGGACTTCCTTGAACACCTCCTCGATCCTACTGAACTGCCTGGGGAGCTGAATCGTCAAAGGGGGCAGGCTCACCTGGTAGGGGCATTCGCCACCCTCCTCGCATTTCCCTCTGCTTTCTAGTCTCACCGGGCAGGCATCCCTGGCCCTTTCATCTTTAATTTCCTCCGTTTCATTGTTTCCTGCAACCAACAAGCTGAAAGCGGCAAGGACAGCCGAGCTCAGCCAGCACCAGCTGGCGGGCTTCATGTTTGCGGGTGGCGCTCACCCCAGCAGGGATGCACGGTTTTGAGAGCCACCGCGGCTGCCTGCCTGAGTTAGGCGTTCTGTGTTCTCAGAAAAGGGCGGGAGCGCTTGCATCACCAGTTTCAGAAACAGAGGAAGAGGAGCCTGTACTCTTCACACGCAGCTTGCCAAGACCTGTTACTGATTCTCAGAATAACATGCATCAGAATTACTGGATTTGACTGGATGCCTATATCCCTCACGTTTCACTTTTATCATTTAGTTTCTAAAGCACAAGAAAAAAAAATCTTGGATTTCACAGTAATTATCCTAAAAATAAATTGTACTTAATGCCACTGGGAACAACTAGCTTTTAAAGAGAAAAATGAATGTACTAGTTATCCAGACGGAAGAACAGAAAGTTTACAAAAATGGAAAAAATGGCCTTTCTTTTTTCCTTTTTAGAAGGGGATCATGGAGGATTCTGTATATTTTTCATGTTAGACTTTCAGGTGAAAGAAGCCTTAAGCACTTGAAATTTTTTAGAAATATGCCAAGAAGCACAGTTTTCTGACTCATGCCATGCATTTTTGCTTCATTTCTTTGAAAAAGGGAAGAAAACCGGTAGAAGAGAAAGGGGTTCACTTCCATTCTCTGGCCCTAGCACAGTGTAGAGGAAACATCTATCTGACAAAAACACATGTAAAAGTACACCATTGACTTTCATCAAAACCAGCAGCCTTCTCCTTCACCTTCACCATTTTTGTGATTGTACAGTCACATTCTGCAGTTGCCCATGAGCTAATCTTTGAACTTTTCCTGGCTCTGTTCTGATTCTCCTCCTGTCCCCAACATCTGTGCCTTCCCCTCCCAATGGCAATCCTATGTCCGCGCTCTCTGCCTCCCACGATGGGTCCCTCTACCACTAGCTCTGTCACGGCCTTGCCCAAACACACATCAGCGCTCTTGCCTTTTCCAACTTTTCTTGGTTTAAACTTTTTTTTTTGCAGTTTTCTACCTTTTCTCCTCAGAAGCTGAGGGGCAGGAAGGGGGAACAGCTTCCGTTGGAGAAACCACCTACTTTTAATTTGTTTTGCATCTTGACATCTCATAAGATTTCTTATTTTAAAAAGGAAGTTTTGGCTTTAAAAATAATTCCAAAATAATTGATATGGATAAAAATCCCAATTCTTTATTGCATTACTCAAGGTACTCTATAATCTATCTCCTACTTATTTCTTTAACTTGATGTCCTGTGACATTTCTCTATATCCCCTTCATTCCAGCCAGGTACACTCTTCACCCTAATTCTCCATTCTCCAGATTCTCTAAATCTGGCAGGCTCACTTTACACTTTGGCAATTGTATTTACTCCGAAGACCTGGATTCCATCCCTGGCTCTACCTCCTATTGGAGGGATAGATCATTACCTTTACTGAGCCTGGGTTCCTATAGCTATGAAGGGGGTATCTGGCTGTTTTTCCCTCATACAAGAATGATACTTATAAAAACTTTGAGCAAAGTGTGTACCAAATATGGTGTTACAAGTAGCATTCTTTCCCAACAAATTTGTCAAGCATGTTCTGTACACCTTATGCCTCATTTGCCTCCATCTTCTTCCAACTTTTTTATTTATTTATTTTTTAAAAAGATTTTATTTATTTATTTGACAGACAGATCACAAGTAGACAGAGAAGCAGGCAGAGAGAGAGGAGGAAGCAGGCTCCCCGCTGAGCAGAGAGCCTGATTCGGGGCTCGATCCCAGGACCCTGGGATCATGACCTGAGCCGAAGGCAGAGGCTTTAACCCACTGAGTCACCCAGGCGCCCCCCAACTTTTTTAAAAAATGAAGTTTGTTATTCTTCGTCCCATTCAATGCAGTCAAACCAATTTAAACAAAATCTTTTAACTTTCTGACTAAAAATATCTAATTAATCTCTTAATTTCATTTTCTCTCCTCACATGCTTTTAAGCTGTGACACTCTCTCGTTGTAAAGGAAGAAGTAGGTGAATGGATAGATCATTTTAAAAGAAAGAGAATGATGATAGTATAGATAATACATAAAAATATTTCAAAAAGTAGAAAGATATAGGAATAATATTTAGTTTAAGGTATATTACTAAACACCCTTAACTGGCTAGGGTACAATCTCTTTATTTACCCAGTTAATTATTTATTAAGGACCTTCTATATATATTCAGCACTGTGCTAGATCATATATAAAATGCATGCCCCGGCCTCATTCATTTATTCATTTGTTCATCCCCCATCCCTCCATCCCTCCAGCCACCATATATTAACTGAGCAACCTTGACATGCAAGACACTCTTCAGGCACTTAGTTCACACTAGTGAACAAATCAAACAAAAATCCCTTTTTTCCTTCTTGGGCAGGGCTGTTGAGGACCTTGTATTTTCTTCCCGTTGGACTTTGAAGTAAATCATAAGCACTTTAAAAAGTTTCCGAATCTAACAAAAGTTCAGCTCTCTGACTCTTGCCATGGGCTCTGTTTCACCTCTTTGAACCAAGCATTTGCTTTCCAAGCACTACTGCCGATTCTTGGGCTCTGCAGCCACGGGCCAGGGCATGGCTCCACTGAAAAAGCTTAGATGTGCTGTGGGAACTGGCTCCTGTCCACTGAGGACCCATAAACAATTCCCAAGATAAAGGTAGAGAACTGCTTTGTTAGTTATCAGTGACACTGTGGGGTGATTGTCTGCGTTCTTAATTAAAAAAAAAAAAATCACTAGTCATTTACTGCAGACAGACACTAAGTGACTACATGAAAGAGCTTCAACCTGACTAATAAGTTTATTAACCCCTGGGGCCAGAGAGGGTGTGCTACAAGTATTTGAGAAGCTTTCACCAATAATATGTCACTACATCCTCCCATCTCTACAGTTACCACGAGCACTTGCAGGTGAGTAGAGAAAATGCTCAAAGCTTTAAATACTTGCCTGTTTTACAGTTTTTAAGAGACAGAGTTGGAATTTGAACCTGGATCTGACTCCAAAGTTCATGTCTTTTCTCCCATGCCACACTGCCACGTAGGGGCAAAGTAATACAGGAGAGGTGTATTGGTACCAGGTTGTGGGGGAGCCTGGTGCTTAACCACTGCTTAGATCAATGGGGAGCCACTGAAGGTTTTTGACCAGGGGAATAATGTAACCCATTAAGCACTTTAGAGAAATTAATCTATCAATAAAATAATTGATGTAATACTTGGTGTAGTGGAAAGGGAAAGATTAGGCAAGAAAACAGTTTAGAGGCCATTTAAATAGTCCAAGTTCTTGTTTCCCAAATTGTGTTTCCTGGAACATGAGTAACTAGATGCTGATGAATACTTTCAGGACAAACAGATCTGAGAAATATCAGTCATACGCTAAAGTGTTTTATGGCTGGCCAAGAGGAAAGTGATGTATGCTGCATTTTTCAAATGTTAATTAACAATAGGAACCTTCCCCTCACCAACCCCAGGGCCATTTTTAGAAAGGGATCTTCAACTAGAAACCAATAGGAAATGGGAGTTCTAGGTGAGAGGTATTAGTGTGATGGCAGGAAGGGTGGTAAAGGGGTTGCAGACATTATTACCAAGGAGTTATAGATAGATCACTGGTCAGAAATGGAGGGCAATGGAGAATTATGAAATATGACCCTGGTTGAAGTTAAGTAATGTGGCAATGAAAATAGGGAGTGAGCAGTAGGTTGGAGAGAGTGTGGGAGTACCAGTTCTGTTCTGAATACATTGACAAGCCATTAAATAGAAATGTCTACCAAACAGTTGGACATCTTGATATGAAATCATCCCAGAATACATGTGAAAATCAACTTGAAACCACAGGAACCCAGAGGATGGTCAAAGAAATAAGACAAGAACCAGAAGAGTGTATTGTTGCAAAGACTAGGAGAGAAGGTTTCAAGCAGAATGCTCCCAGATAATCAAAAATTTGAAGAGCTGACTTTTTGTCCTCAGCACCTGTGGAATTGCCATCATCTACCTTTACCTTTTGCCTCCTCCCTTTTGCTGGAAAGTCTTTCTGTATTTTCTCATGCCCCATCTGCCCTGACTTGAGTATCAACCTCTGATTCTTCATGTCAGCGTCAGAATCTTCCCTTCGTCTCCACATCTGCCTTCAACTCAGAACTGACACATTATGCACATTTACAGATTTGTTTTTCAGATCTAAACAAATTATTTAGCACCAACAAATGATGGAATTTCTATAAGCCACATATGAAAATTAATTGTACCAGTCTATATTCAGAATGTATTCAGACTTCTTTATTGTTTTCTTATTCAAAGTATATTTAAGGGAGGATCTGCATTTACTGTATTTGGGTCAGATTTCAAAAGTAAATTTCCATTTCCTCTAATGCAGTTTTTTTTTTTTTAAAGAAACACTTTATGTCTCTATTTGTACCAAAGGAAGTTACTATGACAATCATTATTTATAGCATTGAGATATTTTCACAGATATTATATTTATTAACATATTTCAGTTTCTGATTTATTAAATTCAAGAGCATTTGATTATACATTAGGGAATATGTCCTTTTAGGATAATAAATAACTTAAAACATTCACTTTTTAAACTACTTGATTTGAAATGTCAATAGTAAATAATGTTTATTTTAATATTCCTTAGGGTCTTAGTCCTAGTTCATTATAAATTTCACAGAAAGAACCTTAAACAATACCCTGATTTCAGCAACCCATAGAGAGATCAAGAATTTCCTGATTTTGATTAAAACTAGAATAATAGTTGATAGTTTCTTTGCTCTGTCTTGCAAGTACCTCACTAGCATAAATGCAGACTAGAAATCCCTCCAGTATGGACCTACTATCAAAGATCCATTATGTGAATCCTTAAGGGTTCTGGTTCTAAAGAAGTAGAGGAGAGAAACATCCAAAGGTCCGCTCTTTACAAGACTACAGAATATATAGTTATTTCATGTGCTAATGGCCCAGATCTTCAGTGGGGTACTCGGGGTTCCTCAGCTAAAATTTTATGAAATTAGAATATCCCATGAGAGTCTTGAGATGTCCATAAGTCATTATCTATCAACAGAATCTCTTTTTGCCAGGTACCTCACACCAAGCCAGGGATCATGATGGATCCAAGAGATCCATGGGGCATGACATCTAATTTTGCTATCATCTGATTTCCAGAGACTTAGAAAACTTCATATAACCAATGTTGGAGAA